AGATAGTTTTTTATCCCGTTTCTATTGTCTCAGTGTAGCCAATGTAGGATTTATAAACCTGTGTTGCATGACTTTGAAGTAAAAGTCTTAATAAACACATAAAGGGCTTTTAACACTGCCTTTGCATGTGTTTTCAACTCTATGATCTTGGTCCAATCTGAAAGTACAACTTGTATCCCAAAATGCCCATTGGCAACAGAAATACAGGCACACATTGCAGCTAATGTGTATTTGTTTCAAATATGTAGCTGCAACAAAGTGTGCTTATTTTTTAATTCTACGTTTAAAAAGCAGGCTGCACACAGAGTGAAATATTTTGAGCATGTTTGCTTTCTAAGTAAGTCTCAGGTACCAAAATAAAAAAGAACTCTCTCATTCAATGCATAAACAAGACCACAGATAGATAGGGCAATGCACTGTATGCTAGGGCTATAAGATGTTTTCTTACTCCAGCTCTGCTCTGCTTTCATCCAAGACAGCTCAGACAGCTCAGGAGATTTAACAAATTGAAGTGTTTCACACTGTTTTGGTGTAATTTACTGTAATTGATGTTCCTATCTAGTGCCGAGGCCTTCTTAAGCGATTGCTTGTGTTTGTAGAAAGGCATGCAGCCCAGTGGGGTGTATTGACTTAGGCTGTTGACTAATACTGCTCTATTGGCATGTTTTAATGCTCTCCCATTCTTCGACTAACACTCCTCGGTAAAGCTAAAAGCACACCTTGCAAACTGCTTAAGATGGGGATCAGAGTACGTTTTATTCACATTATTTTCACACTTCTGCAGCTTCTAAATGGAACATGGAATAAATAAGTTTAATTTGTTGTGAATAGGTCATCTCCCACTCTTAGGTATAATTGCATTTTTATAATAAGAAAATATTGTCAATAGTAACATTGTACATATTGACTTCGACTTGCAATGACCAGGTTAAGCAATGTATACAGAGCAGCAGTGGCAGACACAGCTATTGATAATGAGAACAATATTCACTAATTAAAGTAAGGGTTTCAGCAAAGATTCATTCCATATTCTCAGTGTTCAAGATATATTCACAGCCTTTACAGATGTAAAGGTACTGCATAAAATACTCAATTGCATACTAAATCATGTCCAGCATCCTTCATACAGATTATATTTCCCTCAATAAAGTTGCAACAATAGATTTAATCAAGTGAAGTACAATTACCGTTATTAAGTAATTACTGTAATTGAGTACATTTACTTAGTTTACTATTCACCACTACTATTCAATATTCTGTATTATACACGTGATTCTAATGTTGTAATTGTATAAAAGTTTTACAAAACAACAGACAAAAGGGCAGTGAAGGGCACGTTCCATCCACCAACTACAGTATGCAATTTCAGAAATATTTATTTTTAAATCTCATAGATGCATTTAAAAATTCAGTGAAAACTGGTAAATGGCCCTTGAGTTAAGATTATCTAGTAAAACTATTATTACCAAGGCAAGAAAGAACTTTCACACATATTTTAATGATGAACATATGCTATTTTGGCTTCGTTCTGTACTCCTGCTGATTTTCTTTTTGTGCAAAATGTCAGCTGCAGTTAGAATATGACATCTCTGTAAAGATTTGTATAAACCCACACAATGCAATTAATCAAAATAGAGCAAAACATTTGCCCTGACATCTATATTCAGTATGAGTGCTATTTTCATGTATTTTGAGCAGGCTTTAGAGAGAAAACCACAACTTATTTCATCTGCTACACAGATGCTTGTTTGTGAGACACTCGTCCTGGATCCTATTTTGGTTTTGTCAAAGCAAAGCTACAGAACAGCAGGTTTTATATTCCTTCATTATCCTTTTATAAAAGTGACTACGGTTTGGCTTGTTCTCTGTGGAGGAAGAAACTGTCCTACCGCTGACTTTAACTGCCTGTATCCTCCCCTGCATACACTTTACATTCATTACCTCACTCTATCCCTGCTATATCGTCGCATTGCTCAGCACTAGACCTCAGGCAGAAAGCTATGCTGTTAGCAGCATGACACAGGATGATAAACAAAGGGTTGTGATCTACTACACAGAGACTGAACTGCACCGATAAACAGTACCTTAACTTTCATGCAGTCTTGGGACCTGGTAAGGCCATTAAAAGGTTTGCTTCTACCTTTCACCTTCAAGAACTTTCTTCTTACTCAAAGACTTTTTGTGGGGAGAAAAAATAAACAGTGAAGTTTTTTTTCTCCCTCTCCCATAAACCCATCGGAATCCATTTTAGCATATATTTATTTATAGCATGTTTCTGATTCTGAATCCTTTGCGAAAAGGTTGTTGTAGCATCACGTATCATCACATTACCTATGACAAAAAATAAAGCATGTCTTCATGCTTGTCTGCACCAAACCCCACACAGAGTTGTGCCCCACTGATATAACTGCATGTGCCATCTGACGCTGTCGGGTGGAAAAGTATTAATATCCTCCTGAGCCTGAAGCATACGCGTTTACCTTCACTCTCATTTATCCGTTTATATGCTTACCAAATATAGGTGTCCTGAAAGGTACTTTACTGGAAACATTTCAATATGTAGCCTCACTGTAGCAAGTGGGTGAGGCTGTTTCTACTGAATGTTCAATCAAAGACATTCTGTCAATGTACCAAATTTCTAGCTCAGATTTTTTTAAATACCGTATTTACCTACCTCTGAGGGGACGTCCTTTTTTTACTCACATGGGAAATACAGACCTTTTTTTAAATGAAAATACAAAAGATGTAAAGATGCTGTAAATGTATTTTTGATGATATGGGATGTATTTAAGTGACAACAATATTATTGTAAATAAGGTGGTCTCTGAAACCTACTTTATTCAAGGGTGCATAGACGATGTTGGCAATGCTCCGAAGCTTCTGTGGCAATGTGAGTAATAGAGCCTCATATAACTTCTGTATCACTAATGTAAGTCAATACTTACACCAGGATACAAGGTCATGTTATCTGCATGTATATATTAGTAAAGTGTGAATACAAACATGTTTTTTTTTCTCTTGTTGATCTTGATATTTTATACTTGTGTATCTATATAATTTTCAGCCACCAGTATAGCAGCATTAAGGACAATGCTAAGCAGGACTAATAGCAAGGGAAAAAGCACAACATTTCAGATTTTACAACAGCTCTTAATACACCCACACACTATCGTTTGTACCAGATTTCTGGCTTATAGACCGCATGAGCAGTCTGGATAGTGATACACAGTACCTGAGCCGCCTTTTTAAAAAGTCAATTTACAAAAATTGAAATAACGCCATTGTCATGCAATGAGATTTTGTTATTTTCAGCAGGTGTTAAAACATTAATGACATTCGAAAACTTTTTAAACTACTATAAAGCAATGTTTTTTTTGAAGGGTTAACTAGTTACTCTGTGTAATCTGTAATCTCAATGGGAAATATATTATTTGGAACTACTTTATATTGAAGAAATTTTCCGGAGGGTGGAGGCAGAAATCCCAGAAATAGATATTTAAAAACCCAGACCAATTAAACCAATATTTTATTTTGTAATTTATATACTGAACCTTTAGCTCAAAACCCACTCCCTGCACTACTGTTACTATCACAGACTATAAAAACCTCATTACATCATCATACTTGAGAGTAGTAATCTTGCAATCTTGTTTCTGCAGTCCTGTATAACGTAAAACATGTCGTTTTTGCAGATTATTTTATCCTGGTTGCGCTACAATCAGACTGCTAAAGAGCACAGTTGAATAATTATGATGTTGGATGGTGATAGTGCATAGGATGAATTTTGATAATTTGACTGGTACAAACCCATCTACACTTTTATAATGTAGTATAATGTGAGTGTGGACCATTGCTTCGCCAGCTGTAATTCAGTTTTTCATTTACTTCAGAAGTGTTTTTCCCTGTAGTCAAGGCCTAAGCACACTCACACATGTTAACATGCCTCATCAATCAGCATTTTATAAATATGCATTAAACGTATGATATGTTGGCGGGTTCTCTTTCCAAACTGAATAAGTTAACGCCAACTCTTGGACATTTTAAAATGCTGTTTCTACATGCCGTTTTCGGCATTCCTGGCGTTTTCTGAGTTCTACACCTACACAGAAACATGAGTGTTACAGATTTTCTCACATCACTGAGGTCTGCAGTAACCTTAACCTCAGAATATATATGTTTCTCGTCCCCTAGGGCACTGTATTTGAGTTCCTTATCCATTTTCGAGAAACGTTTCCACTTGAATCTCATATAAAGAGTGAGCAAAGCTTTCATGGCTATTTAGAGTGAGGCAAGGACATGTTACACCATCTCAATCTGTGTCAGCCTATATGCTATGTACACACTTGGAAGACGTCAGTGTCTGTTTGTGCCATATAGAATTACCACCTCTTAACTATATGACATTTCTGGAGAGAAAAAACAATCATGGCACAGACGGAGTGGGGGTGGGGTGGCATTTGTCAGTGCTCTCATTGGGGTTCAAAAGTAGAATATAAAATGTCTGTCTTTGTCTAATCCAACACATTTTATTTTTGTAACTGAGAAATCTGTTCAGGGACCCCAACATTTTTTCCAACTGTCAGGGTGTCATTTGTCAGAAAAAAAGATAGTGAAACTGATTTTCCACCCCCAGTCCTTCTGTATGTTGTGAGGTTAGAGCTGTTTGAAACAAGCAAGGTGGGTGTGTGTAAGAGACGTGCACATGGACACGGCAACTTGTCACAAACACACATGCTTCATGGTCATTATGCCCTGCAGAAATCTCTTTGGCTTTCCCCTGGCTTCCTCTTTGACAACGTTATGCCCTATAGCCTCATCCTCCATCAGCAAGCGATGACTTTTAAGAAGCCAAAGCCGTTGGACTAGAGAGTATTGTCCCTCATGATTGAGATGTTAACCTTCAGGGCAGCCCCTTGCTCTTTAGAGTCTCATTTTTTCTAACCTCTTATTCTTGTTCTCCTCCTCCTCCTGCTTCTCCTTCTTCCTTTCCTTTACACAAGGTTTCACTCTGCCAGCAGCCTGCACACTGAGGCCGTCGAGCCATTAATGAGCCCCAGCTCCGATAATGAAGACACAGAGGTGGTCTGAGCCAGTGTGGCACAGGAGCTGGAGCACAGGAGGAAGGTAGATTAGGATAATTACCTGGCCACGGGGGAACCATCAGAAAGATGTCTCACAACCTGCAGGCCTTGATCGAAGGAGCAATATAATGAGGTGCGGACACCCTTTGCTCGGAAAGGAAAGAATAAAGGAAAATTGAAAAATTAGTTTCTTATAATCGAAATGTGACATGTATTTTTCATTTCTGTGTGACAGTTATTGCTCGTTCTGTTTTCTCAAGTTCTCTCCACCACCCTTACATGTACTGTATGTTTATGTATTTGTTTTATAGCTGTGCTAGATGTCTCACACATACTATACCTAAGTCCTAAATATCCACACTCACTGATACTTTGAAGAGCCTATGAGGTCAGGTTTTAAATTATGGTCTGCACCCACTCCAAGCTTTCTCGTCCCACTCCTGTAAATCCATTTTCCACACAATGCATTTCAAATCAAAGCAGCGTCGCCATAACAGGCCTTAGGAAACATTAAGCCATAGTGCAGTACTTTCATGTGTGATAGCATATCCCCTGTATGCTTTGATGTGCTCACTTTTTTAATGCTTTATTAATAATAACACACTGGGTCTTTCTCACACCAACATCAGCTACTGGTGCTCCTTTCTCTACTCCTGAACTACACCCCTCACTCCTTCCACCATGCCTCAGCTTCTGCCTCACTCCACAGCCCCTGAGCCCTGTCTCAGGATTGGCCTGTTTGTGTTTGGGAGGGGGATTAGAGGGAATGACATGGGCCTCCAGATGAAGAGAGTGGCACAGACCTATCAGAGGGCAGAGAGTATGGAGCGCTGCATCACCATTGGTTGCTGCAGAAATCAGACACGTCTTTATTTCTTGCAGCCATCCTCTCCGAATAGCCCAGCTTTCATTTCCACGCCCGGGGAGGGAAGCAGGGCGAGAAAGAGCAGGGGGGCGGGTGGGGGGGTCAGGATTAGAGTTTCTGTTTGTACATTTAAGTGTGTGTGCATGTGTGTTTTTGCTTGCATGTTGTGTGCTGCAGTAAACATCTGAGAGATACAGAGGGATGGGCGCTCAGAAACTGATAGCGCTCACCTCTTCTAAAGCTGATCAAAATGCAAATGCTCAAACAGTGTCGTGTTGTTGTAGCTTAAAGGGCTGCCTGATTCATAGACATTTATAACCTACTTAGGATAACCATTTCTCACTCATTTCTTATTATTTCAGCTTTATCCCAAGATATGTTGCATTAGTGTTGCAGGCAAAGGTACCCTAAAGCACACATTGGCTGTTCATTTTGATGTTTTCCTTTTGACAATTTCAAGCATGTCTGCAATTTACCGGATCACTTAGTAGCCTATACCCACAATCACATGTGTGTCCACATTATGCACAAACATCTGCTAAATGAATTTCCCTCTTGTGTTTTATTTGTCTCTCTGTTCCTTTTTTATATCCCTATCTTGATTTGTTTGTGTTATTTCAGCAACTCCTGCAGCAGTCTCTAAAGGCATTCATAATGCAATCTGTGGTTGTATTTTTTAATAATAATAATATGACCTGCATGACTTTAATTTGTCATATGTACCATTCTAGCATGTATGCACACCCACCGGTTCTTCAGTGTAACTCCTTCCTATAGTTCTCATATGATGCCTGTTGAGCGTGTTGTGCACCAGACTGTTGTCAGTGTTTGCCTGCTTGTTAGGATGCAGCCAGTAGACTCTGGCTGTCTGAGCAGTGATATGACTGGGGGCAGCGAGGCTGGGTCCTCGCCAATATTGCGTGGTCTGCAGGCTCTCTGGGGGCACCTGGCTCCCCTCCCCGCCATTTCTGGCCCGATCGATGGCTGAGTCCTTCCTAGCGCAGAGACCAGGGGTCATCTTCAAAGGCCTCCAGCCCACTTCCTGCCACCTGGTGTTCTGTTTCGGACAGAGGGCACATTTCCTTTCCACTCCCTCCACCCTCCATGGCCCTTCTCAGAACAGGTTAAGGACATGGAGCCCGTACAGCTCGTCTCTGTGATCCTCACCTCCCCAGTCTCCCCCACGGGGAGAGAGGGTGAGAGATCAGTCCTATCCAAACACCTCAAAATCACACACCCATTTGATGTGAAAATCTGCTTTTGATTTAATCATGGCTTAGAATGCATATCATGAACGTTTTTGGTTATTAATTGTTACCTTTGTTAACATTCTACATTCGTTTTAAGAACTAAAACAGGTGTAACTGAATACATTCTCTTAGTATAGTGCATCCACACATTTATTTTTTAATTCACTGACAAAATAACCAACTCAACAAAGAGGCTTATATTTCATTTATATTGTATTAAGACATTTATATCATAATACAGTATAATACAGAAAGATTTGTGAAGGTAATGGTGTATAATGATGCATTAAATTAACTGACCTTTTTGGCTCTCACTTGAAACATGTTTCATGATTAACTGATCAACAGACCTGTTATGGTAGGAGAATCTCCATCTCTCTTTCCATGATGGTCAAGTAACAAATGGCAGGGCTATCGAACACACATTTTTATCTCCACGAGGGCTGTCGGACAATTAGCTCCAAGAATACATATTAATCAATTGCGTTTTTTTATATCTGTTTATTAAGCCCAGCCATTTTTTTTCCCTCCAATACATTAGCAGATCTCAGTATGTCCGCTACTCTTGTGAACAGGGATGAGAAGGAGATAGAGGGAGAGGAAATAAAGGTCTGATGAGTTTGGCAAGGAGAGGATGGAGGCTGAGACAGATGGCATGAAGTCTGCAGCACTCTGGCGTGGCTCGCCTGGTGCTAAAATCCTCCTCTCTCACATTCCAACAAATCCTACCAGGAGGCTGGGGAGTCTGTCACACCACTCCAAGGATCCACACGGCTCTCTTCTTCCCCCCTCTCCTCCCCCTCCCCTGTCGCCCCAGCCCAACAGAGCCTCTGACCACTCGGTATCATATTTTTATCCTCACCTATGTATACATTCATACATTAACATGTATAGAGCTCGACCATTAAAGGCCTGATAAGAAGCACCGGGGGGGGGCAGATATGACGAAACGCCTTCTCACTGCCCTTATGAAAAAGGAACCAGGGGAACTAAACTGAGAGAGGTGGCCTTTACTGTCACTCCAGTGTAAGAAATCTTATTCACTAAACACTGGGCCAAATCATGAGGGACTGTACAATCCATTTATATCAGAGGAAGAAGACATAAGAAGCTTTTTGATTAGTTTCACCACAGCCTGCATCAGCACATGGTGTTGAACAGAAACACTGCAGCTGCAATCTAAATCCAAACATTGCTCTGACCATTTTTTTCTAGGCTCCCCGTGGGCCCTACAACCAAAAATGGACAATAAGTGTAACTGTGATTACACTCATAGCACTCGACCAACAACTGGATCATGGGCTTCACATGACATCTTCATCTCCAAACACTGTACTGTTAGATATGCTTTGAATTTCTCGAGCATTCATTTCCTTTGCCATCTCAAAGTGGTTCATCTAATAAGAACAATCTAATTTATTTTACACTTTGCTCTCTCCCCATGTCTCTTTCTCGCTGTCTTTCTGCCTGCCTTCTGTTTGTTCTAATGAATGACTTCTGAGATGAGGGGCTGCTGTGAGGAGGTCATGGGGGGCTTCAGAATCACATTACTGTTAATGATAATAAAAAGAACAATCTGTGCTAAACCTCTTCTTGTCTTCTCTTCTCGCTCCATATGGAATGAGTGTTTTATCTGCAATTGTTTTGCATATCTTAACATGTTTGAATTGAAGTCTATGCAATTAAAATGCACAGTAAATGTCTTTTGTGTTTTCTACGAAAGCATTGTTTATTGAAAAAATGGTTGATAAAAGATATACAGTGGTGCACCATCTGGGTTACAAAGTACACCACCAAGCACAACATCAGGCACATCTTACATGGTGCTGCACGAGGCAACATATTCCCTACGGTAACATTTTAAGTGCAAAACAAATGCCAAGAATGATCAAAATGCAAAGAGAAATTTCAGCATTTTTTTGATTTTTGATGGGTTGTACAGGCGTCTGGCTTTGTTGATAGTAACTTAAACTTTTTACTGACAAAAGGTTTTCAGCTTTTCGTACAACTTAAATGTAAGCAGTTAAGTGGATTTTGTTTTTAAACCTCAATACAATGGCAAGGGAAAAACTACATTGAAATAGCGTAGGAAAACGTTATGAGCTGAAAACACTAACATATTTTACAATACACAAAATAATATACCTAGGAGATCTGTACATAGACAAGTTTTCATCTTGCTATGCAGGCCATAAATACTGGTGCTGGTGCAGGCCGTCAAATCAACATTTTCATACGAAAGGATTTGCTGGGGTTCTGACATTGACAAGCAGATCATCAGTAACGTTCCCTCCCACCAGAACAGATATAGAATCCTGGCAGTCCTTCCTCTGTGGCAGGGCAGCGTGGCGTCCCTAGGCCGATTGGCACTGCAGCTGTCACCCACAGGATGGGAAGGTGGCAGGGTCGATGGCTTAGCGGCGTGGCTTCTGGAAGCATCCGTCCCTTCCTGGCCCGGTGAAAGGGCAGGGATGCGGAGCCCCATCTCCCGGTGCATTGATCGAGGGCCAGCCCTCCATTAAGCACCATCAGAGCTAAAGGTCAGCTAAGGCCAACGGATGGGTCCTGTGTGCGCATCCTGAGTGACTCATTCTCACACCCAGGGAGTGAGTCCTTGTCACTTTAGTCTGTGCTGCCCCCATCTCCTGGTGGCCGCATGACGATGGCTATTCTTCCCGTAATTGGTACGCACCTCCCTTATGAGTGGGTGCGAGCTAAACTCTCTTCTATATCTCTTTTTTTGTTTGATGTCGGACACATTATACTTTATTGTTGCTTTTAGAGATATTACATTCTCCTGCCAAATTAAAAGAGCTTGCCTTCTAATTTTCCCCAACAGAAATTGCTTAATAAATGAGCAGGGCCTGATTTGCACTGATGATCACACAGTAGCAAAATTGCACCAAATTGCTCACCCAGAGATAGTGCACCACATCGTGCTCATCACTGAGTGGCAACTACTGCCTGGTGTGGTTTACATTAATGCAGCCTGGCTGTGAAAAGGGGATAATTGTGGTGCTAAATGCTGTGGAGGCTGACAGGATCCATTTCTTGACTTGTCAAGGGCAGCAGTGATAGAGAGGGTCGCGACGGGGTCTACACACACACAAGCAGATGAGTTTATTTGCACCAACACACGTGCATACACACAGGCACATGAGCACACACACAAAGGCAGACAAAATCAGCAACACTCCACGTAGAGATGATTGTCTCTTGCCTCTGTCAGGTTGTGCTTTTTTTCTCCAGCCATGGAGACCTCATCCTGGGAAATTGAGCAATTTCTGATTGAAAACAGTGGTGGTAATTAGAGCACTCACTATTTGTAACCACTTGGCATTGCATTAGTATGCAAAGCTGGCAGCCAGCTTATCTTGGGGAAAACGTTTGTTTCCTTAATTGCCCTCTTAGGACAAAAGTGAAGGGGGTGGGTGGGGAGGGAAGAGAGTAAAATGTTAACGTGCTGCAGTAAGAATGGAGCCTGGTGTGTTGAGGGGATGTGACTCCCTGAACACAGGGGTTAAACTCCACTAATAGGCTGCATACAACACACATGGGCACACACACAGGCACAGAGTAACAGTGGAGCACTCATACACCCACATATGGGCACACACTTACATTGGCACATGTGCACATGAAGGCAAAGACAAAAAGACAACTATGATGAGAGCAAACATTCCAGTACACACACAATTAGGTACAATTAACTCCATAGACATACTGTATACTGTAAAATTAGACATGTAGTAATAACCAGTCGCCACACTAATGAATTTAATGACCCTGTCTTTAAATAAAGAATCCATTAAGATGCAAAGC